TATCATACTAACATATAATTGAATACATAATGCTCTTCTTTTTACTTTCATAATGATATTTCACATAAAATAGAATTGATGTAAATGAAATAAAGAATAATATAAATGAACAGAATTATGAATGAATATACTCAACAAGTCAATACACATCATACTCAAGACAACAAGAAGTTACAAAGTGACGACTGATTGTTATAGATTTATTATTTTACCTACTTTTTATTTTATATTTTATATTTTATTTTTTAAGAGAAAATAATACAAAACAGAATAATCTAATATGCAAAAAATATATTACATATTTTCATTTGATCATTTTATTTAAATGCATAATTTCTTCGCTTATTTTGGTTCCCATTTTTATTCATATTATTTATTTGAAATATAAAACTAAAAAAGAATATAAAATAAAATCAATAAATGAATATGAACATCATTTATCAATCAATGAAATGATATTAATATCATTATCATAAAATGATAATCAATAAATAATTTAACATAAATATTATTTCATTCATTTTATCATTTATAATACTCTTTCATTTCATTATGATTATATTTATTCATTCTCTCTTTTGATTTATTCTCTTTACATTTCTTCTATTTAATTTCATAGTTAATTTCAAAATTAATTTAATTTTAATTTAAATAACAAAATATAAATAACAAAATAAATAAAAATAGAATAAATTTAATTAAAATAATAACATTTTCTTTTTATTATTTTTGTTTTATCTTTTTATAATTAAAACTTAAAAATAAATGAACTATTAATTAATTATCGTGGATCTTAATTTATTATTTATAAATAGATTTATAAAAAACAAAAAATAAAAACAAAAAAGAATAAATTAAATAATAGTACTATTTTATTATAATTAATTTGTCATTTTCTAAAATACAATAACATTTCTTTCTTTATTTTCTCTTTTCAAATACTTTTCCACTCCTTGTTGATACTTTAATTATTTCTTGTTGGAATCCTTTCTAACTCTATTAATTTCTTTTCTTCTTGTTTCTCTTTGAAATGGTTCATTTCTTCTGATAAAAGATTGAGAATAATGGTTGTTGTTTATGATGGAAATAAATTGAAATACATCTACTTGAATGAGATGACTTACATCCATCATAAACAACCAAATGTAATGTGTAAGTTCCTATTAAATAAGAATTAAATTAATGGTGGTTTTAATTTCATTCAATAATTCAATTTTTATTGAAACAATCAATTATGATAAAGAAAAATAAATGAAATAAGAAATTGATAGTATCAAAGAAATAGAAGAGATTAATGTGTTAATAACAAGAATAAACAATGAAATCATAAGAGATGATTTAAAATAATTTATAAATTTTATAAATTAAATGGTTATTTAATTGATAATGTTAATACAAATAATTTTCATTTTATTTTGTGTGTTAATTGATGGTCATCATCATTTTCTTTCTCACATTATCATTCATTTCATATTTTGTAATAAACCACATCTCAATTTTATTAATCATTAATCATTTCTTATTCTTATTGAAAACAAATATCATTTCATACATTATTTATTTATCATCACATTCATAACAATGTTTATATTTCTTATTTCTGACTACTTCATTTATTCTCTTTCTTTTCATCATCTTCTTTTCATATATCATTAATCTTCATCATTTTTATTGTCTTTTTATTTCTTTTCTTTCTTTTTAACATTACAATAACATGATATTCATTATCTTCTCATTTATTAATTAGTGGTTTGTGTTTTTACACAATTCATTAATCAATTCCACTTCAACATCAACAATAATAAAATACATCACTTCATACAAATTGGTTGTGTTTGAAGAAAAGGAAAAGAACTTAAAAAGAACAGAATGATTGAAGAAATAAAGAAGGAGTACAAAACACTGAAATGTAGTGTGATTGTTATTCCAAAAACAAGTAAAGAGGTAGTTGAGAGGATTAAGAAGAATGGAGAGAAGTATAAAATGATTTATATTATCTTTAGTGGATTAATGAATGGAATGATTTCATATTGGAAGAGTGAAAGTGGAGGAATTACTTATTTGATAAGTACAATGATTATCATAATGATGTATTTGAAAAATAAAGAGAGAGTTAATAAGATGATGGCAAGATTGAATATACCAGTGTGGATGATAACATACATTGGAAATATTGTGAGTGTTATTGTGATGGGAATGAGAGGAGAAGGAGGAATTTGGTATTTGTATGTGTCAAACAGCACATCAATTATATTTGGGATACACTCTATTATAACAAGTAATTATAATTGAAATTAATTGTTATTCATCTTGAAAATAAAATAGAAGAAGAAAATGGGAAACACCACTACAAAATATAAAGACAATAAAGGGAAATTAAATATCGAAAATATACTGAATGTATGTCGATATATTCATAAAGAAGAGGATTATATACAAATGATGATGGTGAACAAGAAATACAAAGAGATTCATAAGAAGATGAAATACAATCCATTCAGTATTAAATCAAAAAAGATTTTTCCTAAATTAACAAATCAATTTTTATATTCAAGAAATGACAATAAAATTAAAGGAGTTCATCATATTTTAGTTGAAGTTATTTCATATTCAACATATATGAAAGAAATAGATGATGATATTTATTGTTGTAATATTAAATATGAAGAAGAAGATAAAGAAGAATATGGAGAAAAGATAGAAAATGAATGTAATTGGATAGGCAGATATTATGATAGAGAAATTAGAGAAATAAGAATTGAAGAACATATTAAACAATGTGTTGATGAATGTTTTAATGGATATACAAGTTTAACAAAAATAGAATTATCACCACATCTCTATAAACTTCCATTTAAATGTTTTAATAATTGTAAATCATTAATAAAAATTAATATTGAATATGTTACATATATTGGAGATAATTGATTTTCAAATTGTACAAGATTAAAAGAAATACGAATGAATAAAGACATTGGATATGTTGGGAAATGTAGTTTTTGGAATTGTAAAAGTTTAATAAATAACAGAAGTTCAGGGAAAATACATAATTATCAAAGCATTCCATATTGGGTTTGGATGATATTAAAAGAAGAAAATAATTCAGTTGAAGAAATTGAATATACAAATGAAGATAGAGAAAAGTATGGATATGAAATACCAACAGAAGTCAAACGAATAGGAAATGGATGATTTGAATGAAGTCAAATTAAAGAAATTACTATTCGTTCAAATGTAAGAGATATTGGAAATGAATGTTTTGGTTATTGTACGAATTTAACAAAGATTGAAATACATGAAGGAATTAAAGAAATTCCAAAAGGATTTATGAAATAATGTGGACAAATACAAAGAATTGAACATCCACAAAGTATAACTAAAATAAACACGGCAAGTTTTAAAGAATGTATAAAATTAAAAGAAATTAACATTAATCCAAATACAATAATAATTGAAAAAGGAGCATTTGAAAAATGTCCAAACATTAATTATAAATAATAAATTAATTTAATTCAATTTGATTGAAATTGATTATTTATTTGTTTCTCAAATAATATCAATATTAAATAATTTAATTAATTTTAATATTTTTAAAAGATATCATAGAATGTTATCATAATATAATAACATTCATCTATTTTATTCTGTTTATCATTTATTTTATTCTCTTATTCTTTTTATTATCAAAATTGATATTTATTTATTCAAATTTCATTATATTCATTATAAATATTCTCTAAATCATTATTTATTATTGATTTAGTGTATAATTGATTGTAATAATGTTGAAATTCATTGCATTATTTGTTATTATGATAATACATTGATTATATGAAAAAGAGAGATGAATAAATTAATTTACAATATTATGATTCTATAACCAAACGAAGAAACTCTTTACTCGATTACTATTTGTGTTATTAGCTACTACTTCCCAATCACCACAATTAATTATTCCGTTATATCCAATTCTTATTTCTCTTCTCATGTATTTGACTTGTGGTATTGTATTACTATCACTTTCTTTTAAATCCTCTTGTCGATATTTTTCTTCTATGATTGCTTTATATTCAGAGCCTTTTGTTTCTAAATCCCTATAAATTTCAATAGCGCCTAAACCCCGAACCTCTTTTAGAAGTCTTTCAATCTCCTCCTTTGATCTACTATTGTCTTCTCCTTCTGGTTGCGAGTCAACATAAACCATTAGTGGGATATTAATGATTTCTTCTCTCTTTGTTATTTCTTCAATACGTTTCTTTATTTGTTTATTAAAAATTCTTTTTTCATCGTCTTATGACTGTCTATTATATTTTTTGGTGTATAACAATAGCACTTGGTCCACACGATACAAACATGCTTCCAAAAGTCAGAAAATGGAAAAACATTACACATAATTTCAATCAATGTTTCTAAATCATGAGAAAGTATATCATTATTAAAATCTAAAACAATAATAATCGCTTGTATCCCTCCTTGTCCTATAATATATTTAATCATTTCATTTAACCAGCTTTCATTCTCTTTACTTGTGTCTTGAAGAGTAGGTGTATCAATAACAACTAAATCACTTCTATCATCTTTTCCTTCACACCCAATATGTATTTCTTTTGTTACTGAATTAGCACCATCACCTACTATAAAAACATCACTCTTTAAAATAAAATTACCAAGTGAACTTTTACCAACACCTGTATCACCAATCAAAAGTATTTTTGTTTTTGGTTTATCTTCTGGTACA